GGGAGTGGTGCACTTGGACACGGTGCATTTGGACACAGCCAATCACAGCATCGTGTGATTAGAGACATTTGTAGGGTCCCTTGGAACAGCGACTTGTGATTGGACTGTGTCCAATTGCCCCGTGTCCAACTGATATACACCCCTCGGCCTCATGTTGCCAAACCCGTTAAAACCTACTTGGAAACGCTCAAATGGGAAGTCCTACCCCACCCGACATATTCCCCAGATATTGTGCCGTCCGATTATTACTTGTTCCGTTCGATGGCACATGGTCTGGCTGATCAGCAGTTCCGCTCATATGAAGACATCAAAAAATGGCTTGATTCGTGGATAGCCTCACAAGATGAACGCTTTTACCGTAACAGTATTCGAGCTGTGCCAGAAAAATGGGAAAAAGTTGTAGCTAGCGATGGGCAATACTTTGAATGATTCATTTGTAACCATTTTTTCACAATAAAGTTGCATTTTCATAAAAAAAAACAGCGAGAACTTAGTTGCGCACCTAAGGCTGCGTTCAGATTCCTTACTCCCGGGTGCACTCTAATAAAAGAAGTGCTATAGTATATGTGACATATACTATAGTGTTTTTAGTAACAGAGTGCACCCGGGTAGGGAATCTGAACGCACCCTAATAGAATCTGTTGGTGCTTTCATGTCGATTGCTTTTGACTTCAAGAAAGTGGATACTAATAGATATATCATCTTTTTGTTGGTCGGTGATCTTGCCAACGCATTTGTTCAAGAAATGATTAGATTCTATGATAAAATATTTGTCAACGAATTATGATTCTGATCTCTTTAATTTTCTAACAACACTGCCAGTTGCGTCAATACTAATAGAAGAAGAATTTTTATGCATATTGTGATATTGATCATAAACACTGATTTGTTCACCAGTGCCATAACACACTTTGAATGGCACATAACTTACTAAAGCAATAGCACCTTTATAAGGATTTTCGAAATTTAAACGATAAATTGCCTGTATAACATCTTCGTTCTTCATTTTTGCGGAACCTAATTCTTCATCAATTGCTTCTTTCTTAGCATGTCGAAGTATATCTAATGAAGGTATTATTGGTGCATCAACATCTCCAAGACGCATATCTTCTCTCACTTTTCTTTTTCGCAAGTTTGAGCATCCTTCTGTAATTGCTGCTTTGCCTATTTGTTTCCGTTTCTCCCCATTTAAAGGACGCTGCAAAACTTCATGAATTTGACCTCTAGTATCTCGGGTTTTCACACGTATCCAAAATTCACCAGTATTGGCTGACGGTTCTGTTTCAACAATTCCTTTGAAGGTGTTGCCACATTTTTTACTCTTGCAACTTCCGATGATCTTGATATATTTGCTATGAGAGGATACATTTACATCTCCTCTCACAAATGTGTATGCACAAGACAAATGATGTTGTCGATAAAATGCATCAGCAATAACGTTAGTCCATACCCATGGTCTTAATGTGTGCTTGGAACTCTTGTTTCCGAATTCAAGTGGTTTAATTTGTTCCCATTTGTTTAAAGTCAATATTAAGTCAAACCAAGTGTAATTGTTATCACAAGTAGAATTGAATGAGGCGTCATTAACTGATTCATTTACTGATTCATTATTGCTTTCAGTAGAAACTGTTATGTTCGTAGATGGATCCAGTAGGTCAAAACCCATTTCTCCTCTTGCAAGAGAAAGTATTTTTCGTCTATCATATTTAACATTAACCC